GCAGCATCCCAAGTTGTACCAGAAACTAAGCCGTGTGCAGGGAGAGAGGATGGATGCCACTCATACCTGTCCTGAGAGGTCCACTGTGACCAAGCTCCCTATATGTGGGGTGAAACGCATCAGGGCATAGCCGGAGTGATGGCTGAGGCCATCTACATCATAGTGCCTTCACAGGACTCATTGGGACGGGTATGAGCGGCGTTCATCCTTTTTTTTATCCTGCACAAGAGCCTAAGCAGTTAGAAAAGCATAAAAGAGGTTCTAAGCCTTCCCCATTCCATTTGAACCCAAAATAAATTTGCAATGTGTTGTTATAAAGCATACAACTGTTTCCCTTTTTTAACGTTTTTTTAGAGGTCTATCAGGGGCGGACTGACAACTCATGGGCCCCCCGGGCAATAGAGGATCATTTGGCCCTTGTGTCCTTGCCCACACTCAAAGCACACCCAAAAAAGCCTATAAAAGGTACCAGGAGAATTTCATGGGGCCCCCTACTGACCCGAGTGCTCGAATGGTCAGTCCGCCCCTGAGGTCTATTTTTTTAGAAGTGGATTTAGAGGTCATAACATAAATCTTCATTCAACTTGCACTGTGGTGTGTTGACATGCAGTGACACACATTGCTTTGAGTAAAAATGCAAACCTGCTGCATTTTTCACTACATACTGTACATAACCACACATGCATGGTATGAACAGAGCACATAGAAAACAATTGCTTTCTAGATTCCCCTTGTATGATCAGTGATAATCAATACAGTGCAACACACATGGTATGAAGGAGCCCTTAGAGGGAAAGCTGAAATGCCATTATGAGTGTAGAACTACCCTCTTGAGGGCCACTGGAGTTGTTTGGGTTCCTCTAAGCCAGTGTTTCTCAATTCCAGTCCTCATGGACCCCCAACAGGTCATGTTTTCAGGATTTCCATTATTTTGCACAGGTGATTTGATCAGTTTCACTGCCTTAGTAATTACCACAGCTGTTTCATCTGAGGGAAATCCTGAAAACATGACCTGTTGGGGGTCCATGAGGACTGGAGTTGAGAAACACTGCTCTAAGCTCTGCACTGCCAGGAAACACACAATTTTCCACAATTGCACACTTGTAGTCAGCGAACAGTCCTAGAGCTGTTTTTTTAGTTTTTTTTTTTTTACGGGGTTAACAACCTTGGATGGGGTCTAAGGGTATATGGGATGCCCAAGGAACTGTAAACTTGAGTACAAACTTCTTAGCAACAATACTGTACAAAAAAGTGGATAAAAAAATAGCAACTGTCTCTGATAAGGAGCACTGAAGTCCCCTTGGTGTACCTCTTCAGACCCCAGATGAATCCTTCCTTTTCACCTGGCTACACTGAGGGTATCCCTAGGCAAGGGATTCTAAGATCTGCCAGTTAAGAAGTCCCAAATGAGAACTAGTTGGGTCTTGTACCTTACCACCCTCTCCCTTTATGTAGCCTAGTGGGTGTAGGAGTGCTCACACTGTCCCGTCCTGTCAGCGTCGTGGGTTGGTAGCTGTTTTCAGGCCTTTCGCTGGGCTGGCTTCTTCCCTGCTGCTCAGGATGTCCTCCCTATAAGATGGTGGAACAGTGAAGATCCTCCTGTCCAGCAACCAGCATGTAGGTAGGCTCCCCTCCCATGCTCCACACTACAGCCTTCCTCTCAGTCCATCTTCCACTTGACTTCCCTACTGCTCAGGCACTCCCACTTTTGAGGGTTGTCTTGGACACTATGCCCAGCCTCCTGTCAGGGGATTGGCCAGGGTCCCCAAAACATACAGACCTGGGCCTCCTCCCCTCCAACTTTTATGCATGAATATCTACTGGGGTGGATTTGGGACCATTCGGATGACACAGCGGTTGTGTCCATGGAGTCGTGTATCCCAATAGGCATCTATGAGACTGCCGGCATGGGCATACATACAACACCTGTGCTGATAAAAGATCTCCCTGCATGGGACACGCAGCTAATTGCCTCACATGAATTGGGGCTTAATCTTTTACCTAAGTTCCTGTAGAAAAAAAGCAATTAGTTGTCAATCTGTGGCTGTGAGCAGAGCCAGGTGTGGCCTATTCACTGACAGGGCTACCAACTGGGCCAGTATTTAAGTAACTACAGTAGCAGTGACAACACTGCAGTGATTTCATCGCAGAAGAGTGTTGTGACCATGGCTTTTTTCCTTGTAGAATAGGTGCAAGAATTCATCCACGACCCCCTCCCCGAAACCTCCAATCACCCCCCAAACTGCCTCAAATAGTGAGTGTGGCCAACTGCAAAGTGGGAGGATCTTAAAGGTGCGTTAAATACAAGAAGTACCTTACATACAGAGTGCAAAGTTCAGGGGTGCGCAACACACAGTGCAGAGTTCAGGCATGCACTACACACAGTGTGCAGAGTTCAGGGGTGCACAACACACAGAGTGCATAGTTCAGGGGTGCACTATACACAGATTGCAGAGTTCAGGGGTGCACTATACACAGATTGCAGAGTTCAGGAGTGTGCTATGCACAGATTGTCAAATTCAGGAATGCGCTATGCACAGAGTGCAGAGTTCAGGGGTGCACTATGCGCAGAGTTCAGGGGTGTACTATGCCCAGTGTGCAGAGTTCAGGGGTGCACTATGCACAGAGTGCAGAGTACAGGAGTGCACAGAATGCAGAGTTCAGCTCTCTAAAAGCTCCTTACCTCTGCATCCCCTATCCAAATCCAAATCATCCCTTTTCAGCTCACTCCCTCCTCCATTATTTTATTTTCTTCTTTTACCCCCCACAAAAGCTCTATTATCCTCTATGTGTACTACATAGAGGATAGCTTGGATTCTGCATTTACAGTTGACAGTCGGGAGCAGGGTGCATGGAGCGGGGACCAGAGCCGGAGATGACATAACTCCGTTCAGCCAACTTCTGGCTGGAGAAAAGCCCTGGTTGTCACTCTATCAAAGAAAGCCTAGCCAATGTCTCTACTGGCAAGATCAACAGTTATTTACAAAATGCCCCAGAGGGTACTTAGAAAAGCAGAGATCCTGGTGTTATTAGTATGGGCAGCCTATATCATATACTGTATGTGATTTTTTTGAGTTTGACCATAGTTTTACTTTAAAATTCTAAACTTCAAGTCAAAGTTGACCACATCTGCACACAGAGAAGCAGTCAGTGTTCTTTGTCTCAAATACAAACTATGGAATGAATGCATCTTGTGCTTGCATATGGTCATTATTCTCCCATGTTAGTTTATGCATAGATACAAATCACAGGTTGTGTTTTGCTGAGTTAAAAAAAGAGCAACAAGCAATTATTAAACTCTGAGATATCGTAATTTTTATGAGTCTTTCTGTCTTGTAAAACGAGCATGAGAGCAGCCATGTAGTCCAGGAAATACTTGCTCATACCATGTCCATTGAGCTGCACTTTTTACCCTGTTCATTGAGCTGAGGTATTTTTGCACAGCATGCATGGTGTAAACATGGCACATAGAAAGCATTTTCACCATACATGTGCAACAGTGTGCAGAAAAAGGCAACTCAAATGACATTGTGTAACATAGCGGTCTTTGGAGCATATAACTTACCTCCTCATGTGTATGATTTGAAAGGGTGACTTACATTAAAGCCACAATAACCAAACTTGCTTGTGTGACCTTGCAAACATATAGTGTCTTTACCAGGGGCGGACTAGCCATTTGGAAACTCGGGCACTGCCCGAGGGCCCAGGGTCAGTAGGGGGCCCCTTGAGATGCCCATGGTACCTTTTTTCATAGGCTTTTTTGAGTTTGGGCAAGGACACAGGGGCCCTAAGGTCCCCTATTGCCCGGGGCCCCATGAGTTGTCAGTCCACCCCTGGTCTTTACAGGGGTAGATGGGGTACAGGGGTATCAAACGCATATATAGCTTGTGTGGTAGGACGAGACCCTGTCACTGTGAGAAGACAGGAAAATGTGACAAAATTTAGGGTGAATGCGACATTCCAGATTAATGTTTCTGGGCAGAGAACGTTGAGGATTTGGCTTTCTCTGGATTCTGCAGCTCTGGATTAGAACATTCAGTCCTGTGTCTGGGTTTTGCTAGACACCTGCAATCTGGAGTACACAGATGTGAGTTGTCGTTATATACTCAGGTCTGAGAATAGCTCCAGGCTCCCAGTGGGGGAGACGGAAGGTCTCATCAAGGAGTCAAAGAACCCAGCAAGAACCCAAGAGACAGAGGTCTCAGTTCCAGGAGTCAGGCCGGCTGCTATCAGGGTGTCAAGAGAACCCCAATCCATAGGCCAGAGGTGGGCCTTATAGCAGGGTGCTCTGTCTAAAGGCTAGAGGGCCAAGTATCCAGGAGAGGTACTGCAGTTAAAGCTGAGTAAGCTTATGAGCTAGGTGGCTCGGCATTTTTCAGTGTATTATTACTATACAGGATTTATATAGCGCCAACAGTTTGCTCAGCGCTTTACAGTATAAAGGGAGACAGTATAAAGGGGAGGACAACAATACAGCAACAATACAGTTCAATACAAAAGGTTGGGGTTGGAGCTTACAATCTAAGAGGGAGGGGCGTATGGATTTATGAATTATGAAGTTGTAGAAGATCCCCTGTGTGGAAAATCATTTGCTTGTGAACATTTGCTTTCTTTTAAATAAACGTGGGCTACTAATCCCTTAAAAAATAGTTCTTGTCTGCCGTGGACTCACTATATCAACGCATCTACCAAGAGCTAACTACCCCATGTCACACTTGCCAGTACGGACTCTTGCAAGTCTCTATAAATGTACTTAAAAGAAATCTTTGATATGACAAGAGAAGCCATCTAGCTACTCAGTTTGCTCAAAGTGCAACCTCTTCACCAATAACTTCTTGGTAGCTACATTGTTTATTGTTATATTGGGCCTTATATTTTTCTGGTTAAACTCAGTCCACCTAATTGAAAACTCCAACCTATGATTTAACCACTTCCCGTCCGACCGTTGAATATAAAGGGCCAGACGGTGGCAGTGCAGGGGCGGGTTGCCATTCATAAACGCTGGGCGGGACCTCTGTGTGAGGTCCAGATCATGTGATCACTGATTGGCCAATCAGTGATCACATGAATAGGTGTAAGCAAGATGTCACTTCTGATATCATTGCTTACTAAGTGTGAAATCTGTGAATGATCACAGAGATCACATGGTACAAGGCTATTCACAACAGCCTTGTACCATGTGACAAGCTGTGAGCAATCACAGCTCACACAGTATTTCTCAATGGCTGCAAGAATGCAGCCAGAGAAAAGGAGAAATTATTGCTTTTACAGCCTTTATGGGTGTAAAAGCAATCAGTGTAAAAACAAAAATGTTCATCACCCCCCACAAGTAGTACAGTGTCACTATGGTGACACTGTACTGCTAGGGTGACAGTATGTTTGAAAAAAAAAAACAAAAAAAGCATACATAATAATATAAAAAATAAAATAAAAATGCCAAAAAAAAGTTTTTGAAAAATTATAATTTTTGGTTATAAACTAATTTCGGTTATTTATTTTTTTTTTACTAAAAAAGATAACTGAATACATTTTGGCCAAGATTTATGAAGAAAGATAATTTATTTGCAACATTTTATAAGAAAAAACACTTTGTTTCAAAATTTTTGGACTTTTTCATTTATATAGCAAAAACAATAAAAATCACAGTGGTGAATAAATACCACCAAAATAAAGTTTTATCTGTTTAAAAAAAAAAATGCTAAAAAATTCATATGGGTACAGCGTTGCATGACCACACAATTGTCATTCAAAGTGTGATAGCACTGAAAGCTGAAAATTGGCCTGGGCAGGAAGGGGGTGAAAGTGTCCAGACATGAAGTGGTTAAATTGTCAGGTTTTTACAACAATGCCCCCCCCCTCATATCAGCAACAAATAACATCCTAACAACCAGCACCCCTCATTTGGCAGCAAGGTACTCCCTCTCATTCACAGCCAGCAGCCCATCAACATGTATATTACCAATAAATTCCCCCCTCCCAGCTTATTTCACAGCCACCACTCCATATATCACAGCTATCTGCCAGTCTCTGCTTTTTTAGCTGTGTTCAGTCATTTCAGCATCTGTATCTCTAAAAAGAAATTATATTTAAAAAAAAAGGTAATTAACAGTATACCCATTGATGATACAGTTTTCGAGATAACTAGAACAATAGCTGCCAATGTTTTATGATAATTTCAAGGGACTCAAGGTTGCCAGAATAGTGTACAAATTCTAATTTATAGCTCTGCCTCGGATAATCAGAGTACACTATAATTCCATCATTGCACATTTATTAAATTAGATAATAAAAATACCATTTCATTTCAAATACACCTACTCTACAAGCCAAGAACTTATGATAGGCTGCAAGCACTGAGTGTAAAAACTGAACAAGCACGAATTTTTATTAAGTCAATCATTGTTAAAAATCAAAGTCATTTTCAGGGACAAAAATATGTCTTTCAATGGGGAAGTTATTCTAACAAACTTCATACTTGTATGTTGGGTTCCCAGTGTCATCATTGTGCTGAGGGCTTTTGAGCTGCGAAGTGTCAGTTTTGCGGTGTTGGAGTATGAGTCCATGGCATTTTGTAGGATTTATGAAATGCTGACACTTTTTCTGCCTGTGTGAGTTTAACCTTTTATATTTTAAGAAAAAGTTTAAAAGTTTAAAAGTTTTCACTATTGTTAGCCTCCTTTCCATGCATATGGGACTACCATTTTGATGTATCCGTTGATGATCAGGATTCATATAGGAAGTAGGCAGTCTGGAATGGATTATACAAAAGCACTTTCAGACCTTCCATTCATCTTGGGAGTTGATTGTGATGGTGAGCTTTTTTCTTATGGGATTAGTTTATATCCGCACAACAGTGGCAGGAAGGTTTTCATTTGCATCTTAAATGTTTAATCATGGACCTATAAACTAAACCTTATTTATGATTAAAGTTTTTTATATTTCCTGGTCTGATATTCACTAGTTTATATTTGCATACTTTAAGTAGGAAATCCTTTGCTATTGATTTGACTATTTTGAGAATGCCTTGTATTTTGTTCAGTGAATACAAGACATTCTCTGATTGGATGAGGAAAAGAAGAGAGGTGGTGATATCACAATGTCCACCTTGTCCAATCAGATAATGTCTTGTATTCACTGGAAAGAAATACAATATGTTCTAAAAATGGTGGCAGTGCCAAGCAAGCAACCCCTTGTGGCTAGTGTACAAGGTGAAGCTGCTTGCAGAAACTGGAAGATTATGGCTATCCCTGTAGTAGCTCTACTACAGTGATTGTCAGCTTTGCCAAGGTGAATCAATGTAAGTATGCAATAAAGATCATTCTTGGAGTTCTGCTTTAACTGCTTCCCCGCCGTCCTATAGCAAAAATACTGCTACAGGTTGGTAGGGCTGCGCAAAATCACGTATATATATACATGATCTGCAGATCTGGGTAGGGGGCACGTGCATGCACCACCCTACCTGCACCGCCATTGGTGGCTACAGATGTCAATCACTGGGTCCCTGCCGGAGATTCCCAGCCAGCACCCGGTCATCACCATGAAACAGTGACAGGGGAGAGACCTGTGTGTAAACAACACAAGTCTCTCTCCTGCCAGCAATACCATTCTGCTGTGTATTTCTCTGCACAGCAGGGAAATACGCAGCAGCATGTTTCCCTAGTAAAACACACACACAGTAAAACAGCGCACAGCACACAGTTAACCCTTCGTTCGCCCCAGATGTTAACCCCTTCCTGTCCAGTGTCATTAGTACAGTGTCAATGCTTTTTTATCAGCAGTGATCACTGTATTAGTGCATTGGGATGTCAGTGGCAGTTAGTCAGTTTCTCTTCCTCAGTGTCAGAATGCCCACCGCAGTCCCACTGTTCACCGACGCCATTACTAGTATAAAAAAAAAGTAAAAATAAAAATTCCAGTATATATACCGCCATTTGTAGACGCTATAACTTTCATGTAAACCAATTAATTTACATGTATTTGGATTTTTGTTTTAGCAAAGACATGTAGCAGAATACATTTTGGCCTAAATTTATGACAATTTTTTATTTATTTATTTATTTATTTTTACTGGATATTTTTTATAGCAAAATATCAAAAATATTGTTTTTTTTTCCAAAATTGTCAGTCTTTTATGATCTTTTGGATTCTCCTATGAATGTGCATGTACAGTAATCCATGCATGTCTGCATATGTAAAACTATTATAAATCATCTGAAAAAAATTATTTCACCAATACATCAGTTCTATTGTAGAGATGAAAAATGTCCTTAAATGACTAATAGGTTGTTTATAAGTGTACAATCAAATCATATAAAAATTCTCCATTCATAATTGAAAATTAAACCTTGAAATGCACTCTCCTTTCTATGTAATCCTATGACACTAGAACATACCTGTGAGTGATGCTGGAACACACTTTTTGCATCCTCCCACATCCAAAAAATGTATGGAGTAAAAATTGCCAGCAAGTTTCCCAAAGTTGGCAAGTAGATTCAGACTTGGCTTGTATGTTTTAATATGATTGGTAATGCAAGAAGGAGCTTCGGGCGAATAGACACATTTTGTTCAATGGCTGGACAGCATGTAAGCACTTGGCTAGGCCACAATATAGGAAGAAATAGATTAGGCAGGATTTTCCCTACAATTAAATATTGCACTACATAGTTAGTGAAACAATAACCATAGTGACTTAATAGTTTTATAGCCAGCTTGGGATTGGTGGGGGGTGGTTTGGGGAATCACAATGAACGAGGTAGGTTTTATCTTGAAATTAACGTTAGAGTGTATTTTAAATACAGGCATGAGCCATGAATATTGTACAGTAGTTGGACAATATGTAAGCAGCTTTGACAAGCTAATATAAAATAAGCAATAAGAGATAATGTAAACAATATAAGATGGAGATACAAAGCAGGTTTTATCTTTCAGTAAAAATTAGAATGTATTATCTGAGAGACAATAGCCAAAAGCATTGTTCAATGGCTGGACAGTATGTAAACAGTTTGGTTAGGCCACAATATAAGAGGGAGAGATGTGACAGGTTTTACTGCAAAATAAACATTAAAGGATAAGTTCACCTTTTGCACAAAAATAATAAATGCACATTTTTTGCAGGTAAAGATTGCTGGTGCCATTCAAGTCTCCTGCAGTTCTTTCAGTATGTCTGCTTGCCCGTACGAGATATGCGAGTCAGCAGATGTACTGACAGGAAAAATGAGTGAACTACCACAGTGCTCCACAGGGGTAGCAGCAGGCGGGGGCTGCAGCATTGGGAACATTTTACATGTTCCACCATAAAAATGGGTGGAAAATGTAACATGTTTACAAAGGTGAACTTATCCTTTAAAGTGTACTACCTGCAACAAAAAAAAAAAAAGGCAGCTATGGAAAGATTGTGTACTACCATTTAAGTGTCTGGGCATTGGAATAAGCCACAATGTTTGAGACACAAAGCAATATTTACCCTGCAGCAAACATTAGAAAATTGGCGGCTGCAGTCCAGCTGTTTGAGGCATTGTGTGGCACCTTTCCATGCCTAGGAACTGGAATTAACCCGCAAACTTTGAGACACAAAAAGGTTTTACCCTGCTGCAAACATCACATTAATATGGTGAGGGGGGTCTGGGCTTGCCAACAGCCCTTGAAAATGACACAGAAAAAAATATACTGTGTCTCCTAGCGGTGGGACTTTAAGGACAGCACCAATCAATGAGGCAAAAAAGTAAAGTACAAATGAAAAAATATGATAGTTTATTCAAAATCCATTAAAATAACAAATGTACCAACAATTTTGTGGTCATAATTGCATGTGATTGCATACAAGATCATACATCTATTGATCTGTAGTTAGGCATCCAATGCATTTCAAGATCAATAGCCTTCTTTTCTTCAGGAATGCAAAAGCTGACTATGGTACATTCTGTATGTTTAGATTTTTTAGTGTGACTACATAAGAGCTTTAAAAGCAAGGATACTGCAAGCTACTGTTGACACCACCACCAGCATAAATCAAAAATCGCCAAGGCCACTGAAGTTGCTGTGAGGCACAAAGATGGAACATTCATCAATGACTATATAAGGGCAGATTGATGTAGAATCAGCATTTTAAACTTTAGAGGGGTATGTGAAGACATCTGGACCCGATTTGTAGTAAATGAAAATGGATATTATAAAGTAGCTGAAGTAGATACGATTCGTCACTGCATTGCATATAG